GTCAACATCGGACTCGATGACCAATTAGTGCTTACTGAACCGTAGCACTATGCAAATGTCATGTGGCGTGATTCCCGGCCGACCAATTAGCCATCACCAGCCGTAACGTTATGCAAATCTGTGATTCCCAAGCCATAGTCTTATGCAAATCATGCCGTGTGGCGTAATTGTCTGCTGACCAATCAGTGGCTGTACTTTCAAAAAGCCAATGGCCACTTTCAACCATCTGTCGATGACTGTTACAACTAAAAAAAACTTTGCTAGGTCTTACTTTCAGGGGGAGGTCTTATATTTCGCAATTCAGCAAAATCTGTGCTAGGTCTTATTTTCTGTGAATGCCTTATTTTTGGGGAAACATGATACCAGAAAACTTAAGGCTTATATTATCAAAGTCACTATAAGTTCAGTCATATAGGGACAAAAAAACTGCTATCCCTAGTATCTTTGAACTACTACTAACCCACAATGACTAAAGATTAATAATATGGTAAAACACTGCACAATCTGGCAAAAAAACAAAATTAATCAAACATTAAAGCTGGAAGAATTCTCATGGCTTGTCCCTGCAATCAACAAAATAAGAACATTTCAAGGATATAATTATAAAAACAATACATACACATTATTGTAGATTACTGCACTTGATATGTATGAACTATTTGTTCACATACACACAAACTTACAAGGATTTTGTTAATCTAATTCAAAAGATCCAATATTCAAACAAACCAAAACTAATACTTGCAGACAGATATACCGGACTCCATTCAAAAGAATTTAAGAAATTTTTTATAAACAAAACATTGCACTAAAGTTCATAATTGTTAATTGTGCACAATCAAATGCATTATGTGAAAGGGTAACCAAACTATGTACTAGGCTATGATGAAAGTAAGTAAAAATTTCATGAATGTATGTTGGCCAAAATTACTGGAAGTTGTTCAAAAATATACCAACACTCTTCACAATGTAATAATTATGTTTGTACTTCCTAATGTACAGCATGCCACTGTTTAACCCTTTGATCAAAGAAACTTTCCCCAACTTGGAAACTGCAAGGAATGTGGCTTTAAACAACAACATATGTTCGCACAATTTTAATAAAAAATTTTATGATAAAGTTCATTGTAAAAAAGGATTTTAAAGAAAGAGACCTAGTAGACCTAGTCCTTATTGAAAACAAAAATAAACTCAGCAGACAGAAATTGGAGCCCATTATGATAGAACTATATAAGATAATAAAAACCTGTCAATGTTTCATATGCAGTACAACATGGGAAAGAAATAAAGACTCTGACATATATCACATTTCAAAACTGACAATATTACTCCCCTTTCTCTATCATAGAAGGGGGGATGTAGACAAGAAACAGCTAAGCAGACCATCTGTTTTACCTTGGGTCAAAGATATTAAGAACAAAAGGGTCGTTCTTATTGAGAAGTGATCCGTGAACAATGAAGGTTCTTGTCCCTGTATAAAAGATATGTGATTATTCTTGGTCTGTCTGTTCATCTGAAGTTGATGAACAGACAGCTCCAAGCTTGAATTCAAAAGTGCTCAAAGCATTTACATATATACATATATTACAATATACAAATTGTATAGTGTATAATAGACATTCCATAGTTAAGTCTAATTGTATTGCTAATATCACAATATTTATGATCCCATTAAAATAATGAAATATTGAGTTATGGAAAGTACTATTAACTTAACATTTTCTGGTCCATCTACTTCAAGTTATTGAGGGTACTATAATAATAAATTCAAAATCCAACTTTAACATTTTGCTTAACAATTTGTTCAGCTGCAGAAATTTATGTAGGATATCATCTCCACATTAATATTAAACTTGAAATTGTTGTTTTGAATTGTATAAATATTAAAATTTATTACATGTTAATGATTTTAAATCTTGTTAAATTTTAAAATATTCTAATTTGAATAAAATTCTTCTTTGTATATTCTATTCTTATTCAAAGTTTTGTGGATAATATGGTTGTAACATATTGAAAACATTTGAACAGTATAAACATGAAAGTTATGCAAATTTGTGTTACATTTATTAATGTAAAAAAACTGTATTTTTTTATATTATATTGTAGTATAGAAAGATTGTAGTATACATTTATATGAATTGTAAAATGATATTTCATAGAACTTATCTTCATTAAAAATCTTATTAGTTATTTCACTTATAAATAGACTATTTTTAATTGATTCATTTTGGAGTATCTTATATATTAAACAATCTGTCTCAAGATATTGCAAGATTAATCCTTTACAATTCATTCTCATTTTTATTGTATATCTGACAATATTGTGTTAAAAATAACATTACTAATTGGTGCTAATTAATTTCTTCCTGTGGTATGAATACATGATAAAATTTTCTCTAAAAGTTTATTGCCTTTTTTTAGTTTATTATATCAAAATTTTTCAGCCACAGAGATTAAAGATCTTCATAGTTGATATTATTGAAAGAGAATTATTTGATTAAAATTGTTTTTTTTTTAAATAGGATAAATTTTTTATTGTTAAAAAATAAGTTGTTTAAATTAGACAATATCATTCCATATAAATAGTTGTTCTAGATATTTCAGGAAAAAGAAATGAAATGTATTGAAGATAAAAGATTCAAAAGAGCTTCAGGCTCTAGTACTTTTGAAGAATATGTCATCATTCATTTAACTCATCAAAGATCAGTTAAATTTAAGAAAGAAAATTTTATAAAATTTAAAAATTCTGAAAAACAAAACTCTTAATTCAATTAACATTATCATATTCAAATATATCAGTGACTTCCTTTTAACATATTTAATGTTAAATTTTNTTTTTTGAGTTAACAACTTAAAATTTTGTTAACTCAAAAATTCTCTAACTCTATCACTTCAAGTCATCAAGGAGTCAACTGTGTCATTTACATTTTATATAAATGAAATAATTTAAACAAACCTGAGAATTAGTTCCAGGAGAACTGCCATAACTTGTTGTAGGCGGTGGATAAAAGAATTCTGATGCAGCTACATTTGGAACAGTCTCCCATTCATTTTCTTCATCAGAATTTTTACAATCATCTAATTCCTCAATAAGATTAAGATCTTTCAATAATGATCCATTCATTGATGTAAATAATTTTTCATCAATTGATATTGGTCCACATCTAAAAATTATTTTTATATAAAAATTTCAAATTAAACAAGTTATAGAAAAAGTTAGAACTTAATCTTCTAGTTAAAAAAATTTTAACATATGCAAAAACTACATATAGTTACTTTAAATTGCATTTGATAAGATTTATGTGGCACCTTAAAAGCCATCCAAAAATAAGTTGAGATCATTAATAAACACTATCTACTGTATATGATTATATACACTTAAACATTTAAAAAAACAGATCATTATTTTCTATTAAATAAACGTTACCGATAATGATTATTTAGATTAAAACAGAGATGGATCTACAAGGTAGTAATGGGTGAGAGCACAAGAATTTTTATTGCTAACATGAGCTACATTATTTCTTTAAAATAATGATGAACAACATTCTCTGGATGAGAGCCACAAGTAATCCTTGTATGCTGCTCTTCTGGTGGGCAGCATGCATTTTTTCTTACATAGTTTTAGACTAAGCCTGCTGAGTACCAACATACTTCATAACTACTAGTAAATTAGGTACTAAAATAATGTGAGAATCTGGAGTTAAGGGATTTGTTTTAACAAATTTGTTAAAATAATATTATCTATCTAAGTTAAAAGGAAAACTTCCTTTTAGTCACAGAGAAAAAAACAGTTTAGTTCCTTCAAAAGTGATAGTTCGAGAGCAATGTCTCACTCTTCTATCCACAAGACAGCCTGACTTTCACCATGTGTAGTGTGAAAGTCAGGTGGTGTGATTTTCCAATAATTCTATTGGATGAGAATTCAGCATAAAAGGTGAGAGGTCATCTTCCAACTTGCTCTCGTTTTGGTGCTCTTGCTTGATGCTCAATGTTTTAGCCAATGCTCTTATCCCTCTCCCTCTACCTCTGCTCGTCCCAAGGACTCTCCATCATAGGTAATATAATTATTTTATGTAAACTCTCTCTTGACAGGATAGATTTAGAGATTTAGAATTAGATGTCCTCACATATTTAATGGTGAAGTTTAATCATTTTGTATATAATAGTTATCATTTATTTGTATATATAATAGTTATGATCTCCTATAATAAATAATAGCTATATGATTATTTATTGTTTAGTTAATTTAATGCATAACTCCATTGTCACCCCATGTATTTCACATAACCCATGCAACTTACATATTCCACGTATCTCACATCATATAACATTTAATGCAAACCCTCCTAAAGTTCTGATCATTTAAAATTATTCTTTAGCCACTCTGAGAATAAAATAATGTAATCACGAGTTATGCAACCAATTTTAATCCTAACTGGTGTCAGGACAGACAAAAAATCTTACTGATCTTCCTTAATTTTAATATTTCCATCCTGTATATGGAACAAAGTTGTACCAGACCCTTCCATTCTCACAATAATATATACTAATTAGTAATAATATAGTTTATTCTTATCTTTTTACTGGTATAGTTTAGTTTGAAAGTTCTTTATCACAATTATCAGCTTAATTAGAGACAAGAAATTAAAATTACATTTCCAAAGTTTCAGGGGCACAAATTAAGATCTCATGAGCATTACATTGTGCTTCACTGCTTTAAAACAATATATTCATATTTTAATATTTTTTATGAATATATCGTGAAATAATATATTGAAGTAATATAAAAGAATATATTGTTTCTTAGTTTTATTAATTTTTTATGCTTTAAACTTATGTAATTTATTTTAATTATTTTATAATAATTTTAAAGCAATAAAACTTTTATATATTGTTTATTTTATAACAAATTATAAATTACTCTCCCTAGATTTGCTCCTGGATCTGTCACTAGACTGAAAAATATGATAATGTATAGAACATTAAAATATCAATGTACATATATATAGTAAACAAATATTCATATTCAGAAACTGAATATATACAAATTTGCTTACTTATAATCGTGATTATTAAACCAAAGATCATTACATTATTTTCACTTTCTTTATACAGTGGAACCTTGCTTAACAAGCATAATTGATTCCAGAATCGTACTTCGTACTCATAATGCGAAACACTCGTTAAACAAAACAATTTTTCCCATAGAAATTAATGTAAAATACTATTGATATAATGCGTTCCATGCCAAAAAAAATACTCAAATATTTTATGTATAACGTTTATTCAAAGAAAGTTGTACAATGTGCATTGTTAAGGAGTGTGAATCATCATCATCTCTTCTAGCACGGAATGAACCAACCTGAAACGAGAATTCGACTTGCAGAGGGAAAAAAACACACATAATACGTTTGATAAACACTCCAAATGAAATACCAAATTCTTGGGCTATGTAAAAGCTATAATTAAATAATAGAAATTAATTAATTTGACTAGAGGTAAGCAGTTATGCTTCCATCTCGTATTAAATTTAATAATTATAGTTAATTTTTTAATTCAGACATTTCTAAAATTGGTCATTAAATTTAATATGAGATGGCAGCATAACTGCCTACCTCTAGTCAAATTAATTAAATTCTAATACTTATAGCCTTCATGTAGCCCAAGAATTTGGCATAAAATTTGGCATGTTTATTATATAATAGGCTATGGTTGTTGATGTTTAAAAGTAATGTGTGAACACAGGTTTGGAAAAATATGTGATCACAAGCGACACTAAGATGCTAGCGGAACACAGACTGATGGAGAATGCNCCTAACTGGTGTCAGGACAGACAAAAAATCTTACTGATCTTCCTTAATTTTAATATTTCCATCCTGTATATGGAACAAAGTTGTACCAGACCCTTCCATTCTCACAATAATATATACTAATTAGTAATAATATAGTTTATTCTTATCTTTTTACTGGTATAGTTTAGTTTGAAAGTTCTTTATCACAATTATCAGCTTAATTAGAGACAAGAAATTAAAATTACATTTCCAAAGTTTCAGGGGCACAAATTAAGATCTCATGAGCATTACATTGTGCTTCACTGCTTTAAAACAATATATTCATATTTTAATATTTTTTATGAATATATCGTGAAATAATATATTGAAGTAATATAAAAGAATATATTGTTTCTTAGTTTTATTAATTTTTTATGCTTTAAACTTATGTAATTTATTTTAATTATTTTATAATAATTTTAAAGCAATAAAACTTTTATATATTGTTTATTTTATAACAAATTATAAATTACTCTCCCTAGATTTGCTCCTGGATCTGTCACTAGACTGAAAAATATGATAATGTATAGAACATTAAAATATCAATGTACATATATATAGTAAACAAATATTCATATTCAGAAACTGAATATATACAAATTTGCTTACTTATAATCGTGATTATTAAACCAAAGATCATTACATTATTTTCACTTTCTTTATACAGTGGAACCTTGCTTAACAAGCATAATTGATTCCAGAATCGTACTTCGTACTCATAATGCGAAACACTCGTTAAACAAAACAATTTTTCCCATAGAAATTAATGTAAAATACTATTGATATAATGCGTTCCATGCCAAAAAAAATACTCAAATATTTTATGTATAACGTTTATTCAAAGAAAGTTGTACAATGTGCATTGTTAAGGAGTGTGAATCATCATCATCTCTTCTAGCACGGAATGAACCAACCTGAAACGAGAATTCGACTTGCAGAGGGAAAAAAACACACATAATACGTTTGATAAACACTCCAAATGAAATACCAAATTCTTGGGCTATGTAAAAGCTATAATTAAATAATAGAAATTAATTAATTTGACTAGAGGTAAGCAGTTATGCTTCCATCTCGTATTAAATTTAATAATTATAGTTAATTTTTTAATTCAGACATTTCTAAAATTGGTCATTAAATTTAATATGAGATGGCAGCATAACTGCCTACCTCTAGTCAAATTAATTAAATTCTAATACTTATAGCCTTCATGTAGCCCAAGAATTTGGCATAAAATTTGGCATGTTTATTATATAATAGGCTATGGTTGTTGATGTTTAAAAGTAATGTGTGAACACAGGTTTGGAAAAATGTGTGATCACAAGCGACACTAAGATGCTAGCGGAACACAGACTGATGGAGAATGCACACAATTGGAGACTTTCCCTCTCCTCGTCACTCGTTATGTGAAACATCACTCATTAAACAAAGCAATTTTTTACAATTTGTTTGGCTCATTATGCAAGGTTCCACTGTATTTTAAAAACTTCATTAATTTGTGCAAAATTAATATATAAATTCCTTTTAAGTATTTTCATATTTGGTTAGAAAGCATGTAGTGTGCTACTTTTAGTAGAAAATGAAAACGTCTAAAATCTGAATTTTGTTATATCTTGAAAGAGATTTTGAATTATTCAATAAAGAGTTCTATTGACTTCAAACTAGTTTAATCAGTTAAATCAGTTTAACTATAACTGTGGACCAAATTTTAAATCTGTAGATTCTTTATTAAAAAGAACTGTATATTGTTAGTTGCAGTTTCTTACATTGTAATTTAAATTATAATTATTTAAGCAAATACCTGTAAAACTTAATTGCTATCTGGTTATTGAAGTATCATTCTGCATAAGTGTCTATTTTAAAAACTTTTTATTTAATTTAATTAGCATTTAATCTCTTTATATTTAATACACTATACTTTCTACAAATACATAGTAAATAATTTTATTGAAGGGTTATCACACAAAACAATTATTGCCTTATATGCAAACCTAAAATGCATTTCAGCCCCTGGTGTTAAATGGCCCTCACCAGTTAGATGATCATATATACAAGGCAACAAATATTTAACAATGTTACAAGACTTACCCAAACATCCTAAATCTCATATCATCATTAAAATAATAATAGAATGATAAAAACCAACACCAATAAAAAAATTTAAATAACATGCTAGATGTTGACAGCTTTACAAATTACATAGTAAACATTTTTAACTCTATATTATACAATACAAATTATCTAAAATGTGTTGTGTCACAATAAAGTTTAAAAATGTTTACTGTTAAAAAATGAGCATCGAGTTCTACTTACCTTCTGGAAAGCAAAACAGCAGGGAAAGTAAAAAAAATCTAGTAATGAGAGTTGCATAACTTTTACATTATTAAGCAAAAAAATAAAATAAAATTGTGTGTGATACCAACTGTTATCAGATTGTGTTATAAAAAACTTTTTATACTTTTAATTACTATAAAATGGCAAAAAGCTTAATTTTGAGAGTAGGGGTGAGTTTTATAAAAAAAAGTGTAAATGTTAATAACAAATAAAATCTTCATTGAGTCTACCCCTCTCGGCCTTTCATCACCAAAATTTAACTGTATTAATGCACCTCATATACAAGCCACCATGCCAAATTTTCTTTCTTAATATTTACCCCATCCTCAGATATTAAGTGAAACAGACACCAATACACCATGGATTTTTTTTCTTTTTTTGGATTCAGTATCTGAAAGCTTGGATTCCAATACTATAGCTTGTTATGTATACATAAAACTAACAAGAACTCATTTGTTTTGTGCAATAGAAACTAAACTACAATGCTCAGATATTTTGAATACAAAAAAAAACAAGGAGAGATTATTAGTAGTAATAAAATAAGTTAAAATAAAGTGAGGTGATATTATTTTAATGAGATCCATGGCAGTTAGCTACAGTGTGTGTTAGCCACTTCCAGGTCTTGCTGAGTTGTTGAGTATCTACAGTTGATTATGTTAGTTGTTAAGCTTCTCTCACAATCTGCAAAGTCTATATGAATCAAAGAAAAAAATTAACAACTAATGTAATCAACCAAATATAACACAGATGTTTGGAAAAAATCTGCAGTAGAAAATTAATAATATGGCAATAGCTGCAAACATATCAACTAAAATGTAGCAGTCTCAGCTAAGCTTATAGACATTAATTGGGAAAATTCATCAAAATACAGAGATCTCGAGTTTTAAAAGTGGCATTGAAACATTGTTTACTTTGTTTCTAATCAGTTCAGTAACTCATTACATGGCTGCTTACTCATAGTTATGTACTGTACTTGCAATAGGGATGAGTCAGTCTCAGTTACAGGTTTTGATTTTTATGAAAAACCAAAACTGAAATGGCTTTAAAAAAAACAAAAAAATCCATTTTTACTTCAAAATACTTTTCAACATTATTTAATGAATAAAATTTCATGTATGCTCATTAAAATTAAAATATTCACTCAATCCTCCACATGAAAAATTTGCAAATTAGTAAACTGCATTAAAACCTTATGAATTGTCTTGATTAAATAGCTAAATAAAATATCATAATTTTATAAATATTATTATTTTTTTATTTTTTTATATATATATTTTAATAGATTTATTATGAAATGAAAAAAACTTCCAACTTTACTTTCTGATTAATCAATGTATCACATCAAGTCTATAATTGTATGTACTGTACAGTACTCTCTCTCTTCATAATATTTACACTCTATTTTATTTTCATAATTAAGGCACTTTTTAATTATTAAAATTTTTACCTTAATTTATCAGTTTAGTGTTGCATGGAAAATTATATGATAGAACTATTTCATTATTTATGATTTAATTTGAATTTTTTAAACTACCTTATTAACAAATTAATAATTAGTACTAATTGTTTTATTTTGTGAGCTAGAGTGCAGTAGTTTTCAGGAAAATTTTGGGTCCTGAAAATATTCTGCACCCTAGATCAACCATAGAGATTCATACAACTTTGCAAGACCTTCGAAGTGGCTAACACATGTTAACTAACTGCCGTAGATCCCATTAAAATATCATCATCTCATTTTATTTTATTTCATTTACTTTTATTTACTGTTAATAAGTTAATTTCTCATTGTCTTTAATTTTATTTTGTATTCAACTTTCTTAACAGTATTTGGATTCCCATAATAGCATTCACTTTTTGCTTTCCTGAAGATGAGTAAGAACTCAAAAGTACTTGAAAGTTATGTAACTATTGTTCATATACTCCATTAAAGCATATCTCATAGCTTAATAAAAGCTTTAATAATTTTAGGAATACCATTACAGTAGAACCTCGAAAACTCAGCTCTCGATAACCCGGCACTCCGGATAACTCGGCCACACCCTGGCAGGGCAAAAAAATCCTTAGTTAATTCATTTTCATTAGAGACAGCTTTATAAAAGTATAAAAGCTCTCATAAAGTATTTTTCTGAGGTCTGTCTTATCAGGTAAATTACTGTACACAGTGTATTCATTAATTTTCATTTTCATGTAGTAAAGGCTCTATGCTTTCATAAAGGACGTACTTTTCCTTTGTTTAAGGGTATTTGGGCAGTTTATTCTCTGTTATATTCTCAAGTAAACAATACATACAAGTACAGTACAGTATTTTCTGAGGAAACACTCGTACTTATTTTTTTTACCCCATTTCCGATAACCCGGCATTTTCACAAACTCGGCCACTCTTCGGTCCACATTAGGCCGAGTTTTTGAGGTTATACTGTATTAAAATGAATGTTACTATTCTCAGAATTTTGGAAAATTATATTGAAAATATAAGAATTCTGTTAAAAGCCTAATTCTATGCACATATAGATTGAATTTTAGATTAATATATATATTTTTTGTTTTCTTCACACAAGAGGTACTATATGCAATAAAGTATAAATAAGAGAATAATTTAAAGTATTATATGGATAATTAATTTTATTAAATACTTTTTCAGATTGATTATAAACTTCAATCTTCTGCTGCTGCATAATCATATACAGTATTACTAAAATTACTATTTTCAAATATTATTTTTTAGATTAAAATATATGATTTAACTTATTGCTTTTATTTTTGATGAATTCAGCATTTTTCTTCTTTGAAACAACTTTCATCCCTTAGCATACAATTTAATTTTTTTCATTTATGTCTTATACCAAGCAAAATATTTATAAAAAGTAAAAATAGTTTTATTTTAATTGCATAAATATTGCATTAATCTTACCTTCCCAAATCACTTATCTTTGGATTCAACAATAATAATAAATTTAAAATTGTTTCTTTTGGATGTATTAGATCAGGCTTAACATTCTGAGAAAGACAAAGATGAACTACATTTGCATTCAGCTTTGCCACTTTATGAAAAAACTGTTGTTCAGATAATTCATGACCACAGAATTCACTTAAAAAAAAAAAAAAGAAAAAAGAATTATATAACAACAACAAATGCATTAAACTATTTTTCAAAAAGTATCTCTTACCTATAACTTAAATTTTTTGGCAGACGTATATCTAGATAGTAAGATAAAATGGAAACTAATTGTGTTGTATACGTTAATGCAGCAATTATATTATAAGCTGGGTTTCTTTGTTCAATTTCTCCAATTGTAGGTGAATCTTTATGTTCTCTAACTGATAATGCAATGAAAAATAATTTTTTAAATATTTCATCAATTATTCTAACTTTTATCTTATAATTTAAAACTATTATTTGTCTGCTTATCTGCTTATCAAAAAGTATGACTAAATACTGAAATAATTTTAAAAACTTCTCAAATATATTTCCCAAAAGATTAAAATGAAACAATTTTACAGTATGCAGTTGTTATTAATTTTGTTCTGAAAATAACTGTAATAAATGTAAAATTTGTTTGCATTTAATTACTAACAGTTTATTTTGTTAAAAATCTGTACTTCACAGATAAAATATCCAATCCCAATACAGTAATAGGACTACTGATTTATTTTTACCTTAATTGTCTAAGTGTTTGCTTAAAGAAAAATATTTTTTGTATGCTCTGCCCACAAAAATACCACTATTAACTTTCACGATGTAGATGCCTTCTCCACAGCATGAACTGTAACTTATTTTTTTTTCTCTTCTCCCTCTCTCTTTACCTCACCTCCCTTTTTCACATATACAGTGATACCTCAGGATACAAACGCCCCAGCATACGAAATTTTCAGGATACGACATGAAATTCAAACATATTTTTGCTCCACAATATGAACAAAAACTCACCATACGATGTTACATTTGTTCGCAGCGCCATTTTTTTATTCACTTCTGTTCATCGGTCTCAGTCCCGTGTTTGCTTCGTCGTGGATCTCGCTCGATAAAGGAAATCTTGAGGTATTATCTGAAAGTGACTGATTTTATTGAAAAGAAACATTCCGAAAAGGTTCACACTGGCCGTATTGCTGCTCAGAGTAATGACATTTGTCTAAGTCATTTTAGAAACATTTTAAAAAGTAGGCAAAACCAAACTTCTATGGATAGATATTTTACCAAGCGACCTCTATCCAGTGAAAGTGCTGGTGAAAGTGAAGGAAAGAAAGCAAAAAGCAGTGAATAAAAATTAAAAATATATATATAAAACAACACTAATTTTTTTTATCTTTTCTAAGTTATTTTTAAGTTATTGTTACAT